GTCACGTCTGTGGTGTTCATGTCTTTGTATCAAAAAAGGGCGCATACATGTATTTTGCATCAGTTTCCTTGCAACTTTGTTACGTTGGCATTGCTCCTGTTCTGATTCTTCTTTATACATGCATGCATGATACTGATTGCTAGATGTGCTCCTGGTTTGGACACCCGACGTGTACCTTTTGTTAACGCGCATTAATGGTATCGTTTTGTTTCCTGTCTCTGACTGGTCTACTTACAATGCCTTAATCAAGATATTTATTATTTTTAGGAATATTGTTTCATGGGAGATTGTTGTTTTCCTTCTTTTTTGATTAATTTTTGTTTTTTCCTTACATGCACAAAGATACAAAATAACGTTTTCTTAGGGACTATTTATATTTTTATATATACTTATCATTTTCTTATGATTATTCATTTTTTGTAGGATCTGGATTAGTGTTTCATTTTATTTATTTTAAGGCAACATCACAAAGCTTTTATTAAATCGTCACAATGTTTACAGGGATTATTGTTTCATGGGAAACCGTTGTGGCACACGGTTCATTTTGCCTGGGTCGTTCAAACTGCGTGAGGCCAGGGGCGCTGCGTGGGCTCCCTGGATGGGCCAGCCCATTTATGATTAGGGCTACGTGTCCTCGAGCTCCTATACATCCTTGCATGTTTTTTCTTGGTGTTATATTATCTATTTACAACTTTCTTTTGAAGGAGTATCATTCTATATGAGCTTTCTTCTGTTTGCGATTTTTTATACTTGAAATGCTTCGGTGGTTGTATAAATATATAGAACATAAACATACCCAGCAGCTTGCTGCCGGGTGCGGCAAGCCGCATTTCCTACCTAGTCACAATAATTACATGTAGCTTGGCTGAACTGTGTGACCAAAGACCTGAAATAGCAACGACATGGCATCCCTGCAACCGTCCAAACCAGTTGCGTGTGAGAAATAAGGATTCACGACCTGATTTGGAAACCAAGTATTTCGACAACAACTAGTGATAGGCAACCCTAGTGAGCCAGTAATTATTACAAATGAAATGCAGGGTGAATACAAGAAGAATATGGAAGTGAATATAGTGGGCCAACTAGCCGATTACATTCTTCATCTCAAAAAACTAACCCACCCTTAATCAGCGCATGACCGGTGGAGGTGTTGTACAAGTGCAGATGGAACATGCAATGCTAGTAATGTTAAAAGCCTACTAGACCCCAACTGAAAAAGAGCCTACTAGATCCACCATATATGTACTCAGCTCATAATGTGCACAGACTAAGAAATCACTTATGACCTAAAAAGATCTAAAACAAGATAACTGAAATAACGCAACAGAACAAATTAACATCTCCCAAAGCATTTACAGTATATATACACAAATTGGAAACATTTGTATCTCTAAACTGTTGATTCCCACAACTAAAACTACGCTCTTGATTCAGGAAAAACACCCAATACACAAGTAGTTGAATCTAACTTTCAAAACTTGAATAGCAGGAAAGTTCTAAATTTTGGAGCATTGTGACACTAGGTTGTCCAAATTCAGGAAAAATATATACCACATGCTTTGTACGATAATGCCCAACACTCCAACTTTTGGAGTAATGGGTTTCTGCTTTATTTTAATTTCTCAGTCTCGGGTTATGTCACTAAACTGTGTTGTACTGAACCCACTTACAATTTACAGCGGAGAATAGTCGCGAAAACAGAAAAAAGTTAATTTGCCAAACAGTATATAGGCAAAAGCTTGTTAGGGGCAACGCCAAAACGCAACTCAACTAGTTTTAGTGGATTAGCCTAATTATTAGTATTCTTACTGCTAACATAAAAAATGCAGAGAAGTTTGAGTATTAATCATTATTAGTGCTAATCAAACGTTAACTATTAGTACTACTTCTCATGACAATACTAATCAGTGCTCTTAGCTGAGTATTAGCTTTTGAACTACATGGGAGGGAAAAGAGCATTCGGTTCTGCAAGATTTTCAACTCTGCACAAGGTCTCATAAAAACATATTCGAAAATATCTGAAAAAAAGTTCAGTTTCTTTCGAGTGGCATGTGTAAAGTGGGACGAAATATACAACTGTAGATTTTGCCTCACAATATTCAACATGTATTCCTGTTTTTCAGGGTGTAGAAGTATCTGAAATGCAAGTGCATAGCAAAGGATCGATAATCTTGGTCAGAGTTTGTTGGAAAGCAGCGCCGCTTTTCAGGAACCGTTTCCAGGGCATGCACAGCTCGTGCTGGAGAATGAGAGGATGGATCAGAGCAGGAACTCGATGTTGATCTGAAATGTCTATAAAAGGGCCAGCCGTGAGTCTCAAATGTTCAAGCCAAAGCATATGATTTCATTAGTTAGCTCTGCAAGTAAAGAGTTGTAGGAAACTGAACCCTTCTCCCATGTCCCCAGACATTCATTTCTTCACGAGTTCAGTTTTCTCCAACATCTTATCTTCAACGCTGTCTGGCCGTCGCAACTTGGAGAATTTTGGCAGATGAATTTGAGTGTTGGATGGGACCAAATCTTACCGCCGGGTGTGGCAAGATTTGGTTTCCTCCAATATCTTATGTTCATATGTCAGACACTGGGTGTTAGCTACAAGAAGTGATAGTTGGATGGACACCTGAATCTGTCTCAAGAACCTAACCTTGCAAGCTGAATGTGAGATTTGGATGGAACCAAATCTTCAGCTATAATGGCACAAGATTTGGTTTCCTCCAATATCTCATCTTCAACTGTCCCTGATGAAACCTACAGCATCTTCAGTTGAGCTATAAGTGAACCTGACTTCCTTTGGTCTTTGGTCATCCGTGTCATAAACTTATTTCCCTTTGTCTTTAAAATAAATAAATCAAACTGCGCAAAACAAAACAGGGATTACGCCCATGGTCGTCCATGAATGAAACCAAACAGGTAAATGCACAACGAATGAAAAATCGTTGATCAAAGCGCATATGGCTTATAAGATAAAGCGTCCCTTTCTCAATTCCATATTCATTTCTATAATTATGTATCAAAAGGAAGAATACCAGAAGGCTAGCACTATACAAAACCACCACTGAAGACTGAACATTGTAATCAAAGCATTGTACCGAATATGGGTACCACTGACTAGCCACTAGATTCTGCAGTCTAAAATGGACACCAGCGGTTGACCGATGAAAATACCGACACGCCCTGTTTTAATTCTTCCTGCGCTTTTCCCTGGGAGAAACCACATCAGTCGACGCCCCCACATCTTGCTGACCAGCGGTTGACACTGAGATCGGTCGTGTTTGAAGGCCAACAGGTGGAGAAGAAAAGACATTCATGTCACTGAATTCTCTCTGCAGGTTATGGCAAGGCATGTGGGTACAGCACTCATGCTCATCTTTTTTCCTGCTCTTTGATGGAGAACTGCTTGTAGCAGCTGGAGACGATAGCATCCTGCACTTCGTTGGGCTGTTGTTGATATCCCCAACAGCAACAGGGTTCAGCTCTTTGCTCTGCGACTCATTCTGGTCGATGCTGAATGGCAGAGGACCCTTGCGCTTCTTAGGGGAGGGGTTTTCAGGATTAGCAAGCCCTTTTGATGATTGAGGTGACAGCACAACATCCCGAGCACTTGCCAAAGAACTGGGCTTGGCATTGTAGATTTTGGACGACTCTCTCCTATAATAAATAGAAATTAAAATAAGTCACTCTTAATATGTAAGATAGCGTGAAGACGATAATGCATTATTGGCTGGAACTAAAAAATTCAAGCATGAAGTTGCCATAGTTATCCACCAGCTAAAGAAAAAGATATTCTTCTCATCTAGCTGATTGGTTAAATCATCTTGTATAATCTTTTATTTCCTTTTCTTGAAATCTATGAATAAGCTCATTATGATGTGAATAAGTACTAAGTTAGATTAATCTGGATAATACCAATGATATTGAACAAAGCCTAGTGAATAGAAATTTATACCATGAGCATTTCAGCTGTGGCCGTGGATACAAAAGTTCCTAGCAAACTAGGGTCTTCATGTTCTGTTAAGGTTGATTGAACTAGAAAAAGCTACATATTTCCTTAAACTTGTGTACAGCATATGTAATGAAAGAACACTACTTAAAAAAAACAGCTAGAACTGCCGATTTACACATTACAGATAAAAAACTCAAATAAGGTTCATGAACAAATAGCTTCAGGGAAAACAAACATAGGACAACACTGAATTGCTCTAGCTAGTACGATCAGGTGCAGCTGCAGCGATAAACATTTTCATTCTATCTGGAAATAGATTTGACATTTACACCTCTAGACTAAGACATGTGAATTTCTGATAGATGGTTTGGAAAGATTTCATGTTTATGTATAAACAACGCACTTATATATATTTTCACATGATTACCTTTTAGACTGATGCTTAAAAGAGCACTGCAGTGCTTGATTGCTTATTGCTGGTTACTATTTTAATTAAGCCAGAACAAACTAGTGTTGAAAGTTGGAACTAACGGTTATACATACCAGTGTCAGATTTAGGAAACCACAACCAACAGAAGTTTTGGAGTCTTGGGCGGCATATATAGAAATATAGCATACTTAGTTATTATGCATGGCATGAGGTAATCTCTGGGTCAATGCAAAGAAAACCATAGCGTGCTTACAAAAGAGCAGGCTACGAAACTAACAACCGGAGCACTAGTCTTGACTAAAAGCATGTGAAACAGCTGGCAACTAAAGCATGATGGATTAAAGCTACTAACAAACTGCCATTACAACTGGACCAAATTTCAAGCTTCCCAGCCGCATCCTCTGTTTGGCACCATTATGCGAGTACTAACTACCAATAATAGAACTTTTCTTAAAGATCCCCAATGCCAAACACGGTCCGTAGGCGATGGATGATCACACCGCGCAACCCTTGCGCCGATGAAATTGATGAAGAACTGAACTTCCTAAGACAAACTATTAAGCTCAGTTCCTCTCTAGCGTCAATCCACATGCTGAGTATTTTACCCATATGGCCATATCCCACCCCACAGCCTCAGAAGGCTCAGATCACCCAAGAAATCCCCATACTTCGTAACAAAACGACCACCCTGACACAGCTACTTTCTCGAAAAAGAAACCACCTGCATTACTGAATCACCCGAAATTCCACCTGAATGACCGCACCCTGCACTGCTCCATAGCATCAGACGAATCCTAAAAAAGAGAACGCAATAATTTCCAAACGATCCACGCATACACGAATCCCCAAAATAAGCCTGTGGAACCAAGATTACGGCGCAACTAGCCAACGAAGGCCGATGAAGGCGCAACCTTTACGGGCGGATTGGGGGGCTGACCTGCGGGGCAGGGCTTCCTGGAGCGCGTCCATGGTGTCGAAGGGGCCTCTGAGCGAGCTCTGCACCTCCCCCTCGCTCTCCTCCGACTCCTCGAGGTGCACGGCCTCCGCCTGGCTGCTGCTGCCCTGCCCAGCCGAAGAGGAGCCGGCGCACGCCGCCGGCACCCCGCGGCCGAGCAGGGCGCCGCTCTCCAGCGCGATCGGCATTGCTCTCCCCGCTCGCTTCCACGGCGAGCAGTGCCCCACGGTCAGGAGAGGAGAGGGTGGCGGCGGACGGAAGCCGGGCCCCCGTGCGCCGGCCGGTGTCGCGTGGTTCTTGTGCTGGCCTTTGCAGCAGGCGTCGGGGGAGAGTGGGGGTTTGGTCGCTCGGCTTTTGTTCGGATGACGCGTGGGCCCGGGTTTGTAAGTTGGAAGGCAGGTTTGGCTGGCACGCTGGACGCTGCTTTCCACGCCTCCCCACCCGTCCGTCCGATCTGGTAGATCACGATCAGGGCCGTCTATATTTGATGAACATATTACTTCCTTCTTGTCGCTCAAATCCATTGCCCATAAAAATACTCCGTATAATTTATCTCCAACTTTAGAAAGTTATGTTGTAAACTTGTAATACACACGAATTTGAAAGTCGGGTATTGCTTATGTATTTAACGAAGATGGTCAAACATGTACTCCACTAAAAGCCAAACATAGTAGACGTCATGTGAGGTATGTGTCGTTATGCGCGTGTAAATCTACGTGATGTGTGATGTTTTCGAAAACAAACATTAACATGTCGTAATGCCGTGAAGTTATGGTTGTAACGCGAGAACGTGTTTGAGAGTCAATTGTGGCTTAGATATTAAGCGAGGTGCTTGAACTGGCCCTCCACTAAAAACCAAACTAAGTAGACGTCGTGTGAGTGCGTCTGCATCGTGTTGCGCATGTCAATTGTCAATCTATGTGGTCTGTCTGATGTTTATGAAAACAAACACTAATATGCCGTGATGCCATGAAGCCATGATGGTAATATGTTTGAGAGACAAGTATCACTTGTATATAGTTACGGGAGGTGGTTGAATTTGTACTCCTCTCCACTAAAAACTGAACTGAGTAGATGTTCTATGAATGTGTTTATGTCTTGATGCACATGTAAATTTACGTGTTGCATTTGATGTTTCTAAACAAACATCAACATGTCATAATGACATGAAGTTATGACTACAATATGCAATAACATGTGAGAGAGAAAACTATTTCCTTAAACACTTAATGGAGGTGGTTAAACATGCAATCCGCTAAAACCCAAGCCAAGTTCATGTGAGTGCATCTGCGACATGATGCGTGTGTAAATCTATGTGTTTATGCGATGTTTATGAAAACAAACATCGTATCATGATGCTAGGAACTTATTATGATTGTAACATGCAAGAACATGTTTGAGAGTCAAGTATCGCTTAGATAATTGATTCTTTCGGTGTTTTTTTGGCTTCTAGAATAAGCTCTAGAAGACCAACCAAAATTATTTTTAGAAGCCTACTGTCTTAACTAGTAGGCTTCTAAAAATAATTTAGATTGGGCTTCTAGAATAAACAGGGTAGGGGGCAACTTATTCCACTTTATTCTCGAAGCCAACAAAAGAACTAGCCCTAAATACCAAACCAAGTAGAAGCTGTGTGATGCAAGTGTTGCGATGCGCCATAAATCTATGTGTTGTGTTTGATGTTTCTAGAAAACTGAATATTAACAAGTCTATCAAAAAGGCTAAACTAATGTGGGAATGAAGCGGTTCCCCCGACAAAAATAAAATGGAATTTCGTTGGTGACAGATGATGAGAGCAATGAATAACATGTGCTATGTGCTAACAAAATTTATCGTTTCTCTAGCACGTTGATGGCATGCTGATGTAGGTTGTAATAAAATGCTAGATGGGCTAGCATTGCTCTAACTTCTTCCTTTGAAAAGGAGGGTATACCCAAAGCCTATGTGGTTATATGCTCCTAATGTACCTAAATTAATTAAGTATAAATGTATCCGGATAATGAGTTGAAGTGCTTTACGGTACAATGCACCAACTATCTTGGTGCAAGCTAACCGGGATGCATAATATTCTTATGTCACATGGACAAAAACATATCAGTTTGGGAGTAACATGAAAGAACATATTTGAGAGTCAAGTATAACTTAGATAGTTAATGGAGGTTGTTGCCTAAGTACTACGCTAAAAACCAAACCGAGTAGACGTTGTGTGATACACCATAAATCTATGTGTTGTGTTTGATTTTATAGGAAATAAATATTAACATATTTATTGAAAAGGATAAACTAACATGGGAATTAAAGTGGTTCCCTCCAAGAAAAATGGTAATTTGTTGCTGACAAATGATGAGAGCAATGAATACCAGGTGCTCCGTGCTAACAATTTTTATCGCTTCTCTAGCACGTTGATCACATGCTGGTGTTGGTTATAATAAGATGCTAGGTTATCTAGCACTGCTCCAACTCTTCACCAAGATGAAAAAATGGCCCAATCATGCGTGCACCATTGCCATCAATTGATCCTTGGTATATACCTAAGACACACATGAATGTACTCGGGTAATGAGTTGGTTGCGGTTTATAATGTGCACCAACTATCTTGGTGCAAGGATGCACAATACTCTCAACTCTATGTATTGCGCGCGGGAGTTCCTCATGATACGTCTCCAACGTATTTATAATTTTTGATTGCTCCATGCTATATTATCTACTGTTTTGAATGTTTATGGGCTTTATTATACACTTTTATATCACTTTTGGGACTAACCTATTAACCGGAGGCCCAGCCCAGATTTGCTGTTTTATGCCTATTTCAGTGTTTCGAAGAAAAGGAATATCAAACGGAGTCGAAACGGAACGAAATCAACTGGAGAAGTTATTTTTGGAAGGAAACCTACCAGATGGACTTGGACCCCACGTCAAGGAAGGAACGAGGAAGCCACGAGGGTGGGGGGCACACCCACCCCCTAGGGCGCGCCCCCTGCCTCGTGGGGCCCCCGTAGCTCCTCCGACGTACCCCCTGCACCCATATATACCTACATATCGTAAAACTTCCAGGACGCACAATAGATCAGGAGTTCCGCCGTCAGAAGCCTCCGTAGCCACCGAAAGCCAATCTAGACCCGTTCTGGCACCCTGCCAGAGGGGTCAATCCCTCTCCGGTGGCCATCTTCATCATCCCGGTGCTCTCCATGACGAGGAGGGAGTAGTTCTCCCTCGGGGCCGAGGGTATGTACCAGTAGCTATGTGTTTGATCTCTCTCTCTCTCTCTCTCTCTCTCTCTCTCTCTCTCTCTCGTGTTCTTGATTTGGCACGATCTTGATGTATCGCGAGCTTTGCTATTATAGTTGGATCTTATGTTTCTCCTCCCCCTCTACTCTCTTGTAATGAATTGAGTTTCCCCTTTGAAGTAATCTTATCGGATTGAGTCTTTAAAGATTTGAGAACACTTGATGTATGCCTTGCCGTGGATATCTGTGGTGACAATGGGATATCACGTGATTCATGTTTTGGTGATCAACTTGCGGGTTCCGCCCATGAACCTATGCATAGGGGTTGGCACACGTTTTTGTCGTGATTCTCCGGTAGAACTTTGGGGCACTCTTTGAGGTCCTTTGTGTTGGTTGAATAGATGAATCTGAGATTGTGTGATGCATATCGTATAATCATACCCACGGATACTTGAGGTGACATTGGAGTATCTAGGTGACATTAGGGTTTTGGTTGATTTGTGTCTTAAGGTGTTATTCTAGTACGAACTCTAGGGTTGTTTGTGACACTTATAGGAATAGCCCAACGGATTGATTGGAAAGAATAACTTTGAGGTGGTTTCGTACCCTACCATAATCTCTTTGTTCGTTCTCTGCTATTAGTGACTTTGGAGTGACTCTTTGTTGCATATTGAGGGATAGTTATGTGATCCAATTATGTTACTATTCTTGAGAGGACTTACACTAGCGAAAGTATGAACCCTAGGCCTTGTTTCCACACATTGCAATGCCGTTTACGCTCACTTTTATCATTCGTTACCTTGCTGTTTTTATATTTTCAGATTACAAAAACTATTATCTACTATCCATATACCACTTGTATCACCATCTCTTCGCCGAACTAGTGCACCTATACAATTTATCATTGTATTGGGTGTGTTGGGGACACAAGAGACTCTTTGTTATTTGGTTGCAGGGTTGCTTGAGAGAGACCATCTTCATCCTACGCCTCCTACGGATTGATAAACCTTAGGTCATCCACTTGAGGGAAATTTGCTACTGTCCTACAAACCTCTGCACTTGGAGGCCCAACAACGTCTACAAGAAGAAGGTTGTGTAGTAGACATCAAGCTCTTTTCATGCGCCGTTGCCGGGAAGGTTAGCGCTTGAAGGTATATCTTTAGATCTTGCAATCGAGTCTTTTAGTTTCTTGTTTTATCACTAGTCTAGTTTATAAAAGAAAACTACGAAAAAATGGAATTGAGTTTGTCTCATACGCTTCATCCTTTTAATATCTTTCGTGAGTATGATGGAAAGGATAATTGTGCCCAAGTGCTAGAAGAAGAAATCTATAGAATGTTCGGCACTAAATATTTGAATGATGAGCATGATTGCAATGTTGTTAGTATGAATTCTTTGAATATCCATGATGCTAATGATTATTGCACTAGTTATGATGAAAATGCCTCCTATAAACATGTCAATTTTTGTGGAGTAGACTGGGTTTGCATGTACACACCAAATAGGGAAGATAGATATTGCAAGAGGCATAAGTACTTAGAAACCAAATTGTTGCAAGAAGAGCTAGATGAATGTGCTGAAAATTTAAGATATCTTACCCATACTTGTGAACTTTGCAATGAACATGGTCATTTAAATATCAAATGCAAATTGTTCCATGACCGTATCGTGTCCAAAAATTGTGATGACTTGATTTTCCTTGCACATCATAATGAACTTAGTTTGCTCTTGGGTTATGAAGAAATGAAACGTATAACTGAGGGTATTCCAAACTTTAATCTCGATAAACTTCTTGGTTTTGATCTAGAGAAGATTTATATGTATTGTGCGGTGAATTGCATTAAAAATCCTTATGTTGCCAATTACATAAAGAAAATAAAACAAATAGAAGATGAAGAGAATACTAATGAAAGGGAAGAGACTTCCCAATATCCTCCTATTATTTCTTATGATGAATCAGG